AAGGTGGGATGTGGGCAGAAGCTCGGTGCGATTGGGGGGTCAGGATTGTGGTTAATCTTAACCTTGTTCAGACGAATTGTCCTGAGAAGAGTTCGGCGGCCGGAGCAACAGGTCGTGAAGGGAGACTGAGCTTATTGCTTGTCGGAGGTAGTAGCTCAGCGGCATGATCATCCAGAGCAATGGCAGGTACGAATGGGCATCTCTGAGGTCCCATGTGCATACTCCGTACGCGACTTGCGCGTTAGCCTGGACGCCGAGAATGAAATGTGCATGGCAAAATAGAAGTTCCCCAATGCTGCTGGCTCGGTAGCGAGTTCGCCGATCTCGCACCCGTGCTCTGTGGGACATTGCCTCGACCACAGGTTGTCTTGAGCACTCGCCAATTGCTGCAAGGATGAAATCGCAAGCACATAGGTACTAGAATCGTACGTATTAAGTTGGTTCAGATTTTCTGCTCAGCTGGGTTCTTGGCTCGATGAACAAGCCATGTGGTCTTTCATCCATGACTACGGTAGGGGACAAATGAGCAGGGAACTGATTCTCGCAATACAGTTGACCACTCGATCTGACATTAAGCTCACAAGCCTTTCCGGATACCAGATAATATTACTTCCCACAAGGGGAGACACTTCCTAGCTGTGACGACCTAGGAGGTCTTCGTATTTCCGAATTTGAAATCTCGCTCATAGGAAAAGAGGTACTTTTTTTTGTGTACTGTATGACATTGCACATGAGAATTCAATGACCACTGCGCAGGTCAGGGCATCAACGTCAGTTTTCTCATCACCACCAAAAAGTTATTTTCTTCATCTCCATATATCCGGTCCAAGATTCCAAAGACTACGACAGACTGAAATCATAAGTGTAGGCCACAAATGTATGGCGCGATTATTCGTAGTTACTTACCCAACATGGTCAACATCAGGCGGACCGCGTTAGACTCAGGGACGAGGCTTAGCTTACTCCTCTAATGATAGACAGATGGGCTTTGATTTTTTTTTTTTTCATCGACTTGGGCCCAAGGCCCTCGCATGGTTTGATCTGTTATGACCAAGTCACTACTGTTGAGTCAAAGAGGAGTGAATGTGTTCATGTCTGATTCACCACGGTCCACCACGAATGACCGCACGCAATGCCCGATATAAATAGGCATCTCCGAGAGATATAACTCCATCAATCCAAAGACTCGAGTAGTATCATTCAACACAACTACAAACTTCATCATGGAAAGATGGCTACCAAACTACGGGCCCAACCCCCCAGCTCCCGAGCCAGCAAGACCACAGCAACCGGTTAACCAAGAAACCCCCCAAGACATTCCGCAAGACCCGCCACGACCACAGCGACCTGTAGGGTCAGGTCGTATTCCAGACTATGGTCCGGAATTCGCAGACCCAGATCCAAACCCAGAGCCATGGCCTGAGCCCATCCCGGAGTACGACGACCGTGACATAGAAGAGCTTCCACCAGCACCGGTAAACAACAACGACGGGGCAGCCGAGGAGGAACTTCCCGAAAACCACTGGTCCAGACAAATCGCTCCAGCAGCTATCACGCATGTCACATTCGGCGTGTCGATACCTCCTTCTGACGATGATGTTGCGGAATTGCTGGACGAAGGGTATGAGAACATACCTTACAAATATTTCAAACGGACGCCGCAAATCGTGTTCAACGTCAGGTACGGCAACTGCACCTTTGAGCTCTTCGTGTCCTGCTGGACATGGGAAGGCCGGGAATGTGGCAGGACGCAGAGCATCCTGTACCCTTTGCAAGAGCTCTTCGTGGCGCACAACGACGCCGTCGTGGAGAATGAGGAGTTCAGGCAACGTATGAATGATTTGAGAGAGAGGGTGTTGGCTTTCTGTCAGCGATTCCTCAGCCCTGGGGTTGCTATGTTGCCGAGACAGACTGGGCAGATGCAGCTTGTCGACGTATTTGGGGAGTTCTTCGTCAGCGAGTCGGATGTTCGAGGGGTGGGGTTTTGGGTTGATCTGCGGCGATTCGAGCCGCATGTGGAGTTGAGGTTCACTGATGATGGTATGAATGTTAGGTATCTGAGACATCAAGGAAGGGAAAACATGGGAGGCGGAGAGGATGGACAAAGGAGAGATCGAGGTCAAGAAGACATGGGCGACATAGATCAGAATCGAAGGAGAGATCAAGGCCGGGGAAACCTGGGGAACAGAGACAATGACCAGAGGAGAGATCAAGGCGAGTATTGGGCTGGATACGGGCCTGGTCGGCCGCTGTATGATTTCAACGGCTATGGCTACTTTCAACTTTAATAGAACACACTCGGCAGACAGAGCGCTCATAAAATGGATAAAACTTATTGACAAACTAGCATCTGTGATATCAATGAGTATTGGTGGCCATGAGCACAAAAAGGTTTCCTAGCTGTATTAGCCAGAGACGTTAGTCGGCTGGGCCACGAATCTTGGATACACCAAGAATATCAGCACTTTCAAACCAAAAGCTTGGTTCACATGAATTAAATTCATTAGCCGCAACGCCAAAGTCGCTAAGTATGCTATGCTCGACCGCATTACCCATCCAAAGTTTATCACATAAAGCCCCAATCAACACCGTGCCTCATTCATCACCCCGATACCAATGCTCCATCAAACATCCCCGTTGTCCCCATCTAAAAGACCTCGGAGTCGACCTCGTCCACAATCTGGACCTTGATGCTGCCGTTCCTGTAGTCGGACGCCAGCGTGAGTGCATCGACGGCCTGCTCGAGAGGGAAGGTGTGCGAGATGAGGCTCTTGAGGTCAAGAATGCCGCTGCTCAGGCACGCGATGCCGGCGGGCCACGTGTCGCGGTACCGGTTGATGAACTCGAGCTTGATCTGCAAGGCAAACATCGTCAGTATATCCCACCAATGACCCAGAACCCGGGGTAGGTAGAACTCACCTCAGCCAGAGAAAGGTGCATAAACGGCAAGTTGTTCATAATCTCCCTTCCCACGCCGATGACCATGACCATACCACCGCGGCGCGCCGTGAACGCCGCCGTGCAGATGCTGCTCTCGACGCCGGTGCACTCGAGCACCGTCCGCGGGGCGCTGTACTCGTCATCCCCAAACAGCGCGCGGATCGCCTTGCCGTTGCCCTCGTTGCCGAGCGCTGGGTCGACGCGGTACGTGATGACGCTGGGCACGAGCGTCTTGGCGAAGGCGAGGCGCGAGGGCTCGATGTCGGTGATGACGAGCGGGTGCGCGCCCGAGGCGCGCGCGGCGGCGAGGGTGATGAGGCCGATGGGGCCCGCGCCGCAGACCACGGCGCCGACGCCGAGGGAGAGGCCGGCGGTGCGGATGCCGTGCATCGCGACACTGAGGGGCTCGAGGAGGGCGCCTTCGGCGTAGGAGATGTTGTCGGGCAGCCTGGGTTTGTGGGTTAGCGCCGCATATTCTCCGCGATGCTGTCATGAACTCGTGGACCGTGGACACTTACTTGTGAAGCCACTTGGCGGGATGGCACTTGTAGCGCTGGATGGTGCCGTGGTAAGGGTACACGCCGGCGAACTGGACATCTTCGCAAAGGTTGTAACGGCCCTCTGTGCAGAGGAAGCACTCGCCACACGGCACGCCGGGCTCGATGGCGACGCGGTCGCCGGGCTTGAGGTTCTTGACGCCCTCGCCGCAGCGGATGACCACGCCGGCGGCCTCGTGGCCGATGATGCAGTCGCCTTCAAAGACGAGCGTGCCGATCTTGCCCGTCTTCCAGAAGTGGATGTCGGATCTGGAAACGAGGGACTGTCAGCGAATTGTCTATCATGACTGGAGCTTCCGAGGTCTCTGGCGAAGCAGACTCACCCGCAAACACCAGTCGCCTTGACGTGGACCAGGACCTCGCCCTTCTTGGGCGCCAGAACGGGGGCTTCCTCTGCCTTGAGGCGGTGATCGGCCGTGACCACTAGCGAAGGGTTCGGCAGCGGCGCCTTCAGAGTCTCGACGGGGGCGGCGTTCTTCTCCATCTCCGTGACGACGACGATGCCGTTCTTGGTGGGCACGACGCCGTTGACGGGCGCCTCGGATATCGTTGTGCACATCTTCGGACGTGTGATTTGTGGCAGGAAGATCGAGCGAACGAGAGACGACTAATGGTAAGTCTAAACAAACACAAACGGTGATCTTTTCGTCAAAAGCTACGTTCCGTGTCGCGACAGAGGGAAGAGAAGAAGGCGGTAGACTTTGAAACGGAAAAACACAAGCTGTTAAAGAAGAGCTGTCTCCCAACCGGATAATCTCCTTCGTTTCTATTCGTCGAGGATCTAATGGAAAAAGGCGAGGAAGGCTCAACAGTCCTTTCTAGCTCGCGTCCCGTCCCGCTTCACACCAAACAAAATAATTTCTCGTCGTGTGATCTATGTTCCGGTCGGTAATATTGTCGACAATCGGACGGGACGGTTCCAATTGGGGTTTGCCAGAAGGAAGAGCGGGGAACTGACCGACGCGGGGCGACTAACACTTCCTCTTCGTCTGTTGGTGATGCTTGGGACTTCCCGATGCGGAAATCGTAAGCACCTCACCGGCAGTTCTGGATTTGTTTAGACTCCGGGAAAATGCCGGCTGTTTAAAGCTGATTACCAGGTTCGTGTTGAGGGGCACCGGGTTCCGTCCCCCGGTGACCGATGCCCCGCCCCCTCCATCGGCCGAGTTCCGAGAGACATGAGAGGACAGATAGCTTGGGTGGGCGCATTATCTTCATGCATTGCGAACGAAGTCCTTGAGAGCTCTAGCTTGAGCTCGTGTGAAGCTATGATGATGTCGGAGAAGCGCGCCTTATGCCTTTCGTACCCGTCGCTTGGCTTCAAGTCAATCAACAGGGAGAATTTCAATTGAGAAAGAAGATCTTTGTACGCGGGCAACTTTTGATTCATTCAACAAGGCCTTTGTCGGCCATTTCTATGGTAACTATTGGTCCCAAGGATCATGATCCAAGACGCATCCTCCCACCCATTTTCCAGTCATTCACATCATTAAGAAACATCCCTTAGGCAAAGATGCGCAGAGGCTTCTGGGGCAGGTAGAAGCCAGGGTCGTTGAAGCGCAGGCCAAGGTCAAGGTCAGAGATGGCCTCAAGCTCCGCGGGGGTCAGATCGAAGCCGTTGACCTCGAGGTTCTGCTGCAGACGGTTCTGGCTGTTGCTCTTGGGGATGACGGCGATGCCGCGCTGGGTGGCCCATCTCAGGAGAACCTGCGCGGGGGTGGCGTTGTGCGCGGCGGCGGCCTTGGTGACGGCGTCGACCTCGAAGAGGCCCTTTGCGCCGATGGCGCGCTTGTTGGAGATCTCGAGGAAGGACTGGGGACCGAAGGAGGAGTAGGCGGTGACGGCGATGTTGTTCTCCTGGGCCATGGAGATGAGGTCGGGCTGGACGAGGTAGGGGTGGTGCTCGATCTGGAGGGCGGAGATGGGGTGGCGGGCGTAGGACTGGACGTCGTAGAGGGACTGGGCCTGGAAGTTGGAGACGCCGATGGACTTGGCGATGCCCTGGTCCACGAGGGACTCGAGGACCTCCCAGGTCTCGCGGATGGGCACGTTGTCGGTCTCGACGATGGTCTGGGCCTCGTCTTGCCACCAGGCCTGGGTTGCGTTGTTAGACTTCTGTCGGTTCATTTGCATTGTTTGAGGACAATGAGAGACTTACGGGGTAGGGGATCTTGGAGGGCTCAATGTACTTCAGAGCGACGGGGAAGTGGATGAGGTAGAGGTCGATGTATCCCAGGCCGAGGGTCTCGTTCTGCTTCTTGGCCATCTCGAGGGCGTGCTCCTTGCGGTGGTAGTTGTTCCACAGCTTGGTGGTGATGAAGATGTCCTCACGCTTGACGAGGCCGTCGGCGATGGCGCGGCGGACACCCTCGCCCGTCTCCTTCTCATTCTGATAGTCGTAGGCGCCGTCAAAGAGGCGGTAGCCGGTCTTGATGGCCTGTATGTCGTCAAAGTCAGAGAGCCGTCTTCAACAGGAAGTCAGAGGACAAGGTGTTAACTCACGTTGTAGACGGTGTCGGCGCAGGTCTCGCGGGGAACCTTCCACAGGCCGAAACCGACGAGAGGCATCTCGCGGCCGGAAGCGAGGGTGATGGTGTCCTTGCCCATTGTGAGTGGAATTTGTGAATGAATTGGGGTATTGATGCTGGAGGAGCAACTGTGAGAAGAGCGAGAGATGTGAAGCAAGAGAAGTGTAAAAGCAATTCGTGGTCAACAATATGTTCGGCCTGACCCCAATTGTAAATATTTCAGCATCTTTTCAAATGACCCCGCCTCAGGGCACCATCCGTCGCGTCGCAGTCCGAACCTCATTCCACTTGCATCGTCATGGAGGGGCATCTCTGGCGGTGCTTAAGATTTCCCTTGACGGTAATGCTAACCGTTCCTTAGCAAAAACGGGCAAGCATCCCCGCGCTTAGTGGCCCCCCTGTTTGACTCGTGTTCGACCGGGTTCCACGAGGGGAATTGAAAAGACCAGACCGCTCACATGAGATGGGGAAATGGGGTCAATTATCCACGGCGAAATGCTGCATATGTGCTTTTGAAAAGACGTGGCTTGCCATGAAGCGTCGGATCACGACCGGCTGGAACGATGCTGCAACTGTTCAACTGAATGAAAACCAGCTCATTTCCAAAGAGACAAGAAAAGAGCCGCCTGTTCAACAGCTCCATCAAACATTTCATCGCTACATAGTACACCCTGTCAACGCTTGTCTCGAACCGTGATCGCGTGGCACTCCCAACCCCAAGTTTCCAAGTTCCAATCCCCACCACACCACACACCACCATCAACGCCTCGTCGAGCCATCTTCCCTGCACCCGTCGCCTCTCAATACCCACCCCGTACACACATCCGCTTCCTCCATCCGCGTCTCTCCGCGTTCCTCCACTATTTGTTGGGGATGTTGTCTGCCTTCCCAATCCGACAAAATTATCCCTTCCCACAATGGCACACACACACGCACACACCCAGCGCACAGCACGGTCGTCGCAGGCTGAGTGAGAGATAGTGAGAGTCCGAGAGGGATACCGAAAATAATGGCGGACGACACGGAATCAGCATCAGCAACCGCCGCCGCCGCAACGGGGGGAGCTGGCGGCAGTCAACAGACGAACCCGTCCAAAACCAGACACAAGAGGACGAGGACCGGGTGTCTAAAGTGTCGGATCCGACGGCGTAAATGTGAGTCTATCTTTCTTATCTCTTTTTGCATCTTCAGGTAGGAATTGTGTTTGAGTTTCACTGTGCTGTTGCTGGAGTCATCATCCCCACAACTCATGGTGTTTCTTCGCCAGCCCCGGTTACACTCGGTGAAATATATGCAGTCATGTTATCGTCCTGACCGATAACTAATCTCTTGCCATGCAGGCGACGAAGGCAAACCACGCTGCCAGCGCTGCATCGACGGCAACTTTGAGTGCCAGTACGGCCCTCGACTGACGTTCTTAAACAAGAATGCGTTGACAGTCTCACCGTCGCCAAGGACGGCGACTGAGGCGACGACGCCAAAGTACTCGAGGCTCCAGGTACGTGTACGATGATGAAAATCAGCTGATGCCGTTCTTCATCACGGCTCACCAACAACATAATAGTTCGTGAGTCCCGGAACCGCGAAACAGGGCGCCAAAGACGGCTCAGCCTCTCCTCCACCTCAAAAACCTCACAATGCACCCGCGACGAATAATGCGCCGCCGCCGCCACATCCTCCCCCAGCGCAAACGCCTACCATCGTGACCTTCCAAGCAAATCCTCAAACCCTAGAGCCTCCGACCCCGAAACCGCATCCCATCGAGCCGAGCATCTCGCAGAACCACCATCCGCCTCCGCCGCCGCCGCCGACACAATGGCGCGCGCAGAGCATAGGCCACGAGAGCCTATCTTCGCCGGTACGAAACCTCGACATCACGGGCAAGCTGAACGGGACCTCGCCCAACAACGACGCCGCCTACGAGACAGCCCTCAATGTGCTGCTGTCCCTGGGCAGCGAGGGCACGACGACGACCGGCCTGGTCCAGTCTCCCGACCAGGGCTCCGCGTCTTTTGGGATCGGCGCAGACGGCATCGGCGTGAGTCCGAGAGATTTGATGTCTGTCTCGCCGGGTTCAGTCAGGGAACGGAGGGGGTCGAATGTGGTGGTCCCCGCTGCGAAGACCATCTCGCAAGACCGACTGCTTCAGTTATTGCGCCACTTTAGGTACCAGGTCGCGCCTTGGGTAAGTTGGACTAAGATTCGGATTATGGTGGCTGTATGGATTTACTTAGACGTTCTACCAGCTCGACCTGTGCGACATGAGCCAGACCTTCGGCCTCTACGTGCCCCGCCTCGCCATCGAGTCCGAGGGGGTCCTCCACGCCCTACTCGCTGTCGCCGCAACGACAGATTCGCGCGTGATGACGAACGACGCCGAGTACCTGAAGACGCTTGCCGAGGCAGCGCCGTGGAATCAGAACAGTTTGAATAACATTAATGACGGCGACTTGGCACATTTGACATTGTCGACAGCCTGCCGGTTCATCGCCGATATCCCCAGCGGGTGGCACGAGTTACCCATCGTCATCAACGACAATTTCTGGACCGTGGCTTTGGCGGAAGCAAGCCAGAAGACAATCGCCATTCTCTCTGTCTTGATCAGACTAGGTACAGGTCATGTTCGACATATCCTCGGTTCCATCATGCTAACCTCCCGGCAGAGCTCGCAGCCGCCCTCGTGACAGGCTCCCCCATCTCCGTCCCCGAACAGCTAAACTACAACCCCATGTCGCAGCAGTGGAACACCTCCTCCGCCGTCGCGGAGACCATATTCCAGTACACCATCGAGCCCCTCCTCCTCTGCGCCAAGGTCGTCAACTTCTGCAGCGGCAGCTTCCCGCCTCAGACTCCTACTTCTAATCCCAACGGCGCTGCCCCTCTGACCCCGGTCCACCGCTGGACGATGCTCAGCGACGCGCTGGGCCTCTGGTACACCAACCGCGCGCAGGAGTTCCGGCCGATGGTCGAGATCGACGGCGGCGACGACACCCTCTTCCCCATCATCCTCTTCACCAACGGCGCCGCCGTCTTCGCGAACCAGCTGTACCACACCGCGATGCTACTCCTCCTGCAGAACAAGCCGCGCACGCTGCAGGCCGCGGCGGGGACGAAGAAGTCGGGCAGCAGCTCGTCGTCGGCGACGTCGCCGCTGTGGCACGCGCAGAGGGTGTGCGGGATCGCGCTGAACAACGACCGCCGCGACAGCTGGGACCTGTGTCTTGTAGCGTCGCTGTACCTCGCGGCGCAGCGGATGACGTACGAGCCGCAGCAGCGGGCGATTTTGGAGTGTTTTGAGCGCGTGAAGGCGCTGGCTGGGTGGAATGTGGACGGGTTTGCGGCCAGGGTGAGGGAGGATTGGGGGTTGGTGTAAACGATACCAGTCCAACGGCGCATTTCCGTAGTTCCGCAAGGCGTAAAACACCTTCCCAGAGATACCTTGAAGCATAATCATCTTGCCATGTCAGCGACCCTGAGCTCTTTGCGAACCTTGTATCCCCACGCGGTCTCGAGGTCGTCGATCCTCCAGCACGTTCCCCATCCGGTGACGGCCTCGATGCTGCGGATGAGCCTCACCAGCAGCGCGTGCTCCGACTTGTGACTGAGCAGCCGGCCGGCCACCCACAGCGGCTGTATCGCATTATTCAGACAGCCCTGGTGCGGGTTCGCCAGGGAGATGCCACAAATACACTTGGCGTGCCATATCGCAGATCCCGTGACGCCGCCAAGCTTGATACCCAGCGGCCGCGGCATCGACCCGAGCAGCAGGGTACACGCCGTGTGATACAGCTGATTCGACGATATCGCCGCCCAGTGGAGGAACAGGATCTGCGGGAACGGGCTGCTCTGGATGCTCTGCACCGGCAGCAGCTCGGGCGGGCGGTCGCGCGTCCACGCCTGCAGGTCCTCCCAGAGGCGGACCCAGCGGTCGGTGAGCTCGTCGGGGCTGCTGCAGGTGCCGACGTCGCCGAGCTCGAAGTAGCGCGTCCTGTCGGCGACGAGCTCGCAGACCTTGGCGCAGAGGTAGACGGCGTAGTTGGCGTGCATGTCGGGGGTGCCGCCGGACTGGTGGAAGAGCTCGCGCGCGTCGTTGTGGGAGGCGCCGCTGGGGAGCCATTTGGAGGGCGTGAGGAGGGTGCTTTCGGTGCCGTCGGATATGAGGGCGCCGCAGAGATCTTGGCAGTCAGTGAGTAGATGTGAAGAGGAATGTGAAGTGAGATGTTGGGGACATACCCATCCTAGCGTAGCACCAGAATACGGCTTGTAAGAGGCCGCCGCTGAACCCGTGAACGTAGAAAGAGTCAAAGAGCGCCGCGCAGCCCTCGAGGTGTTTGCGCCAGTCCTGCGCACTCGCGGACATCATCTCCAAGCAGCATAGAATGGTGCAGATGGGGATGATCTTCTGGTCTCGGGACTGGAGTAGGGGCGTCAAGAGTCGGATGGCCTCTTGGTAGAGCTCCAGACTGTCGAAGGATGTCTGCTTGCCCTCTTTGCGCTCCATCTGGCGTGCCGACAGAGCCAGGACGGCATACAAGAGGGCGGGAGAGCTGCGTGCCAATACCGGGACTTGAATGCCAAAGGCGCGGTCGCTGTCGAACATGTCGAGCTGGTGGATTGTGAGTATACCGAAACAGAATTATGCGGGTTCTTACAATGGACTCACCCATGGCGCGACTTCACCGACATAGTTCTTGAGATACTCCAGCCTCCTTCCCGTACCTAAGATCTGTCCAGCATGCCTCCGCGCTGCCGAATCGTCGCCCAGCATAGTCCCCGGCGCAGCGAAGCCTCCCGCGGCAAACCCGCCATCTGCGGCTTCGGGCGTGCCCTCTCTGGTGGGCGCGGCGGTTTGGGCTGTGTTGAAGATGAGGCATCGCAGTTCCTCCTGGTAGGCGAGGTAACCAGGGTCCGTCACAAACTCATCCAGACGCCATGACTCTGCTGGTGATGTTGACGCTTCGGACGAGAGGTGCTGCGAGGGTGCCGGGTCGCCGAGGCCCCACGTCGACGCAGCTGGAGTCACTGCAGCGGCGCCATAGTGAGAGGGGCCCTGGGAGTGAGAGAGCGAGTGAGAGTGGG